TTTTTTTTTTTTTTTTTTTTTTTTTTTTTTTTTTTTTTTTTTTTTTTTTTTTTTGTAAAGCAATGTTAATATATCAATATGTACACATATTTTATATAAAAAAATGTGTCCCCAATGTGTCTGTATCCTATTTTTTTTAGAAATCGACATGTTTTGATCATCCCGTATCCGTGCTTCTTAGTGTACTAGTTACCATCATTTTAAGGTTTGCAGCACTTACTCTGGTACTTACACAATAGTAATGTTTTTAGCTGGAAAATTGTAGCCATTTAGTTGCATTTGCATTTGCATGGGCAAGGGGATGGGTGGAGCCGTATAGGTGGCCTTTTCCTGTTTTATTCACATTTTATTCTGCTATGTTCTAATGGTAAAGAGGGTATGTTTGCAAAACCATTAAAAAAAAAAATTTAGATGATTGTGGTGCAAGCTGTTTCGTGCTGAACTTTCATTAAAATGACAATTTAGTCCCGGGACTTTAGCTTGTAACTATTAAATTTTCGAGCTTTCAAATTTGTAACAATTTAGTTCTTAAACTTTAGTGTATAACAATTTAGTTCATATACTTTCAAATTTGTAACATTTTGTCCCCATCATAAGAAATCTCATAGAAATTAATTGTCAACTTTGTTCATGTAACAACATAGTCTTTATAGTTTTTAAACAAGTATGATCCCTATTTTGCTTATCTATCTACATGGGCAAGAAGTTTCGTTAAATCTTAGTAGTACTTTTTTCATTAGAGACTGTTTCTGAATTCTATTTTTAGTTTCTGAAGCCCATCCAAACACATTTTTACATCTCACATTGCCATGAACCGGACAAGGTCCTCATAATCATCCAATGTAATACTTCCCAAATATATATATTGGTCTGTATTCTAATTAGAAATGGGTTCTATACTGAAGCATGTCGCCTGCCCGACATTCCCCTGATACTCGGAGAAGCATATCTCCACGTAGGACGCCACCATCTAGGGGTAGAAGCGATGACGAACATTCACCAAGGCGAGACAATGGCTCACCGGATGACAAACCAGTTGATTCTCGAAGTCCATCTCCTGCTAAATCCGATGCCGATGTGAGTTAACCTACCATGCTTATTGTTAATGTTCTTTTCAAGCATGATTTGTGGTCTGGTTAGTGATAGCCAAAATATGCCTGCAGGAATGAATGATCTATACATGCCATAGCGTTGGGTTTTAGAAATTATCTATGCATTTTATGATGGAAAACAAGCATGGCATCCCAGAGGGGATATTTTGCACGATTGTATCTGCCTTTATACTTCAAGGATTGGTTGGATGTCAAGATAGAGACATGTAGGATCCTGTTCCTAATTAGCTTATGAGTTCTTTTTTCTTTTTAGATTTCAATGTAGTATCTGTACTATTTAACATGCGAAGTAAGAGTCTTCCCAGTGTTTGGTTTTTACCTCCTTAGATGTATAATGATTATGAATTGATTCTTCTGCATTGTATCTGTCTTTTTGGATCACTGTTCATCACATATTTTGTAGCTATTTATTTTTTACCAGCATAGGTTTGATTGATTGATTATGGATGAAGTTTGTCGTTGAGATTCATGAGCCGATTGATATTTTGGATCCGTATTCATCACTTTCGAATTAGTTCAATTTACAATTCTTGGTCATTGAGATTCATGGGTTGATTGATATAATCTCGTAGGTTGGATTGATTGATTTAGACACGATAATAGATAAAGTTTGTTGTTGAGATTCATGAGCCGATCGATCACTTTCGAATTTGATCTGATTGAGATTCATGAGTTGATTGATATTTTAAGGATGGTATTACCTTTTCTTTTTCTCGTTCAACTAAATTGAAATGACTGAAATTTTTCTATTTGGAATTGTATTAGGTCTAATTTCTGCCACTCGAGTAAAAATGAGTTAGCTCGAGAAGCTTGGTGACCATCGAAGCTTTTTAGTATAGTGCGATCATTAGTTGGTTGTCCATTGATCTCATCTAGTGTTGGACGCGACTTGACTCTCGTATAGGTCGGATGTTTTCGGGAATAGTTTAGAGCTTGTTAGCAATCAATTCACCGTGAATTCACCATGATTGAATGTGACAAAAGTGCATCTATTTGAATTATATTACATATGATGTCATTTCTAATGTGATTCCAATTGCGATTTGGATATTTTTCAAGTTCATCTTTTCTAACATTGATAGGAGTTAATTCCGATTCTTATTGAGTTTACGTAATTCTCGAAAATTGCTTGAAAATCGATCGGATTTTAATGTTAATATTTAAAAAATTAGACTGAAATATGTTTTTAAGAAATATTAAAATCGTGGGAAGATATTACGATAAAACAAACAAAATCAAATAATTAGCAATCGGGCTTATTTTTTAATTTTCTCAAATAAATCTTAAATTTAGTCTTTTAAAATTAAATTTTATTTAAATGGATTAAATAATAATAAAGTAAAAGTTGGAAGCCTAAAATGAAAATAAAAAATTCCCAATTAATTACCTAATTAGTTATTTCAATTATTTTAAGTTATGCTTACTTATTAAGGCTAATTAGCATAAATGGTTAAATTAACATTAAATAAGTCTAAGAATCAACACTATTAATTGTACCCTTCACATAATCACCCATTAAATAATATTGAATACTTTTAAAAGCTTCGATGAACGTATTTTATCTGCTCAAAGGGACAAATTCTCTTTTTTTTTTTGCCCATGAATTTAGTTTAACCTAAAATTTATTACATCAATTGGTATCAGAACTCATAGACGATATTCCCGAGAAGGAGTGAAACCCTAGATCAGGGTTACACATCAACAGTGGATTCCCTATCGAGAATTCACATATTTTAACTATCATCATCAATTTTATATTTCCAGCTGAGTAAACTTAAAAGAATTAATTGACATGCATTTTTTCTCTCGAGGTCAGAAATTCAAATCTCTATTCTAATATTTAGAATAAAATTAATTACTTTTTCGACCCAATTAACTTTTAAAAATCAATTAATTTTAAAAAAAAAAATAAGTGGAGGGCTAAATAGGGTAATTAATAAAGGAGGAGGGGGTTATTTGCAAAAAACGAGGAACAGTCATCTTGGTGGCACGTGCGAGCCATTGGAATGTACGTTTCACATTATAAATGGAAATGGCGCTTCGAAATTCAAATATTTAAAGGGCTTTAATATACTTTACAGAAAGAAAGAGTAGAAATAAATTTTAAAAAAATAAAAAATAAAAAATAAGAAGCTTCCAGATCACGAGGGCATTTCGGTCATTTGAGTTGAGAAAATCTCTGTGCTTCCACGGCACATTAGCACTGTGTCTCTCTCGCAAAGCACTTTCTTCTTCTTCTTCTTCTTCTTCGTTTTCGCCATTAACAAACACCAAATCGAAGCTTCTCTACTCAAACTTCCATTTCTTCATCCATCTCTCTTTGGCCTCTGCAAATCTCAATTCCTTTCTTCTCCAATGGACAGAGCCACTCCTGTTCGGAAGCCTCACACCTCCACTGCAGATCTCCTCACATGGCCTGAACTTCCTCCGGCCGATTCCCCTGCCTTTCCTTCGTCTGCTTCTCGCTCTGCTCCCAGGTCTCATCAGGTATACTTTCTGCATTTCTATCTTTTTTCTTGTTTCTTCTGCTTATTCTCTTTCTTTTGCGTCTCTCTAGCCCTCCGATGGAATCAGTAAGGTCGTCTTTGGAGGCCAGGTTACTGACGAGGAGGTTGAGAGCTTGAACAAAAGGTGAGATCTAAGTCTGCTTCTTTTCTTTCCAATCTTCATTATGTGAAGCTTATTCTGTTTCGATTACACTGTTTCCTTGTGTTCGATCTGCTTGTTTTGTTTCAAATTACTCATGATTGGATCTCAAATTTGTAATCCTTTCTGTGTTTCCAAGGCAATTTAGAAAAGTATATGAGCATTTTCTCTTCTTCTCCCACCACTTGATTTTAGTATGTAATATGGATTAAAGAGAAAAAGAAATATCAAGTTCCGTTTTCCGGTTCGCTATGCATCAGATCTTCAAATTTGTGGAGTTTCTTAGTTTGGCTTCTATGTCAATCGCTTCAATTGTTCGATTTTTAAACTGTAGGAAACCCTGCTCTGGATATAAAATGAAGGAGATGACTGGCAGTGGCATTTTTGTTGGTAACGAAGGAGAGGATGAGCAAGAATCTGGAAGCGCCAACCCTTCACAGAGTAAAACAGGAATACGTATGTACCAGGTATCCATCGAAGAAGATCACTTATTGCAGTTTCAAATAGTTTCTGTTTGGTTTTAGGCAATTCCTTTCTAACTCCTAATCTTGACGGGTCGATCAAATTGCAGCAAACACTGGCTGGAATTAGTCATATTTCATTCGGTGAAGAAGGTGGTGTTTCTCCTAAAAAGCCTACTACTCTACCTGAGGTTGCGAAGCAGCGTGAGTTGAGCGGGAACTTAGTAAGCGATGCCGATGAGAAGCTGAAGAAGCAGCTCTCTGATGCTAAGTACCAGGAGCTTAGTGGACATGACATATTCGCTCCTCCTCCTGAGATTTTGCCTCGACCTACAACTGCTCGCACTTTGGATTTAAAAGGAAGCATCGAGATTGGGGAGCCTGATGATGTAAGTAGTTCTCCACTCAATTCTACAACCTCTTAATTCAAACACATCCATTAAGAAGGCACACCCACAAACGCCATTCACTCATTTGGCTTAGAAATTAAGTGCATTTCTTTGTTTCTTTACCTACCTTATACAAATGTTTTAAAATCTAAATCGAGTTTTTAAAACTAAGATCCAGTTTGATAACCCTTTTGTTCTTGATCTTCTATTTTTTGAAAATTAAACTTATATGCACTACTTTGTTACCTGCTATTTAAAGAATGTTTTAAAAAATCAGCCAATGTTGGAAAACTAAAAAAAAAAATAGTTTTTAAAAACTTGATTTTGTTTTTGAATTTTGACTTAGAATTCAAATGTGTTTTCAAGGGAGGTGATAAGTCTTCCCAAAAAGGATAAAGAACAAAGCACAATATTCAAAAATAGATAACAAAAATGGATTATCAAATGGTGCTTTAATGAAAGTAGCTTCTAAAAACGTGTTTTTTGAATTTGGAACCTGGCTAAGAATTCAAATGTTTTCAAGGATGAAAACTATTGTAAAGTGGTGGGAAAACTAGCACAATTTTCAACAACCGAAAACCATAAACCAAATAGTTATCAAACAGGGTCTTAGTGTGAAGTTCTCTTGTTATGTTTCGAGAAGCCGTGTATAGAAGAATGGTGTATTATGTTAAAGTATTGACATAATTAAATTTATCGTAACTTATTAGCTAAATTTTTTGAGTTAGATTGTGATTTAACATGATATTAGAATAGGAGGTTATATGTTCTAATCCCATATTGTGATTTTTGGGTTTAGTGGTGACCAAAATCTTTCGTTTGCATCAGAAATGATGGGGTCAGAGACAAACAATGATGAAATCCTAGGATTTTAGTTGGTTAGTATACGTGCATCCACTAATTTCTCTTCGTTCGTTTGCATCATATTCTTTTTAGTGAGGCCACAAGCTCACAATGATGAAATCCTAAGATTCCTAGTTAAATATACATGCAATCATCACTAATTAATTGCTCAACGTGAGGTTACTTTTTCTGATTGATTAATCATATGCCCCCATTTGATAACCTGATATGGCTTTGGTTAGTAGTTTTTTAGTTTACTTTTCTTCCAAGTCTATTCTTCATTGCATGCAATGAGTCTGTTGGTCATCACCTTGAGCTTTATTTCGATCTAACTCTAACATCGGTGTGTTCATGTTCCAACTAATCTGACCAAACACAGAGATGCGTGATCCCCGGAGAAGAACCTTCTGTAAAGACAGCAAAGAAGATTTACGACAAGAAATTTTCGGAGTTATCAGGGAACGACATCTTCAAAGGTGACGTTCCTCCATCGTCAACAGAGAAACCGTTGAGCGTGGCAAAGTTGCGAGAGATGAGTGGGAGTGACATATTTGCAGATGGGAAGGTAGGGGCCCGAGACTACTTAGGCGGGGTACGCAAGCCCCCAGGTGGCGAGAGCAGCATTGCCTTGGTCTAAATCATCGAGGTTTCTAACAAAACTCAATACTTTTAGATTATTATGGAAATTGTGATCTGGTTTGGGTAAAATATGTTGTTAGGTTTAACTTTGTGAGTCAACAACAACTATGGAGTCTGCTAATTGGGTTGTGCGTCCATAATGTTTTTGTTCTTGGTTGTGTGTGTGTCTGTAGTATCTGTATCTGTGTCTAGTAGTAGCTCAGTTTTATCTTGGTTGGTTGTCTTCTGCCTATTTTACTTCCAGCTTTTGAGGTTCATTTATTTATCATTATATTCATTAATTGATTTTGCCTATGGTGCTTAAATCTACTTTTTATCATTTTTCTTCTTGTCTTTGGAAAATCTTCATATGCCAATGAAATTTGATGACATTTTAGAACTTTTATTTAATTTGATTATCTTGAGAGATGGACTATTTTTCGGCTAACCATCTTTGTTTTCATTCGGATTAGGTTGGGTTGGGTTGGGTTGCCTCAGAAGTCGAGTAAGAAGGAATGGAACCACAAATTGTAAGATCTTCATCGGTTGGAGAGGGAACAATCGTGAGGTTGACAGTGATACATAATGGGCTAAACTAGATAATATCGAGTAGTAGTGAGTTTGGGCGGTTACAAATAGCGTCAGAATTGTTTTAAAAGGAAATTAAAATTAAAATAGTTTGATGTGATAACTTTATTTAGTATGGAGTAGATTTTTTAATTTGCTCTTTTCAAAGATTAAAATTCATGGATCTATTTTTTTTTAGTTCAACATGTATAAGATCTCATATCGTTTGTAAAGAGGAACGAAATAGTTCTTATATAGGCGTGAAAATCTTTCTTTAGTAGATGCATTTTAATACCTCGAAAATTTGTTTCACATTATGTAAATTAAATAACGTATAAAACACAGACAGATTAAATATTAAATAATATTTTTAGTTTTAGTTTGATTTAATTATTTAAAAAGGATGATTATATTGAAAATATGAAAATGGGGGAGGCAAAGGACAATGGTGATTTGAGAGGAGAAATTAAAGCCAAATTAAAAGGGATAATCATTATTAGTGGTGTAATGGGAGTGGGCATAATCATAATTCATCCCTAATTATTACCTCGAAACCCCTTCTTTTTCTATTCATATATATATATTTAGTTAGATACTTAGATACGGTCTGCCCATTACATATTACGATCAATTTCATAATTTCTTATAGAGAATACTTGTTCCCTCTCCAATCGATGTGGGATCCCACACATCGTCTGTGCCAATGACGGTTCAAATTCTAGTAAGCTAAGTGTAGCACAATTACCGATCCTACGGTTAGGATTATTATTATTTTTTCATTTCTCAATATTAAGCCGTCAAATCAAATCCACATGAATATTAGTAGAAAATATTTATGTTTGGTAAAAATATAACATTTCTAAAACAAGTGATGAGTATTGATTGCCATTATTATTTATATTTATATTATTAAATATTTAATAATAATGTTTCTATATGTGCTGTAGTCATCATTAATGCAGAACTTAGTATTATTTGCAAGCGAGGACTCACCTTCGATCCTTGTAGGAAGCTCAATTAATATAATTTAATTCAACATTATTGTTCATCTTTATCCTTTTAAAGCTGTTGAACTAAAAAAATTATACAAATAACGGAAGGTTTATTTTTTAAATTTTAAATATTTAATAATAATAGAACATAGCTAACATCTACGTCTATTACCATAACTAGGAATATACACAAATTGGATTGAAAAAAATAGGTTGGTAACTCGAGCAACAGAAATAGAGTTTACAACCAAACCTATATTCAAATTGGGTTGGGTTGGGTTGGGTCGGGTCGTCAGTTTGTTTATTTATTTATTATTTATTAAAAAATATTCTAGCTATCTATGGCATCTGAGTTAATAACTAAAATCTTATAAAATTCAAATATCAAACATTTATAAGATCATCACTGATATCATTCAAATATTGAATGTTCTTAATCTTTTTAAGAGTAGGGTAGATGAGTAATGGGTTGGATTGCAACTCTGTTTGTAGGTGGGTCGATAGACAACTTGCAAACGGGACGAAATTTCCAGTTTTCTAAAAATTTAACTCAATGCAAATCGAAAAATATGTAATCTAACCTAACATTCATAGTTTGAATTAGATAGTATAAATAAATCCGACCGTCCAAATGCCACGAGTGAATAAAAAGTTGGATCTACATTGGATTTCACCTGAATCGACCCATCTATCCTCTCGAGGAGAAGTTTGGTTTCAAGAGAAGAAATACTCCATGCTAATGTGCCTGGCTTAGATGATCCACATCTCAGGATCAGGCGCTGATGAGCACATTGAACTATTCATGTAGCTAAAAGTCCATACAGCCTAGGCACAACGACCCAATTATTAGGGACACGCTCTACGACGGGAACTATATGGGTAAAGATTGAAGAGTTGAAAGGACATAGAAGAAAAACAACATGAATTCAAAGGATATTTTAGTTTAATTGGAAAATAGATCTAAGATTCCACAACAAGCTTATGAACCAAATTTCTATAACAAAATGACAACAAAAATTGCTCAGATTCATGAGAGTGTCAGAGCTTAAATCATTGAAGTTTTCAAGTTAATACTCATGGCTCTGTTTTGATTCTAAAATGATATCATATTTCAAAATTTCACTGTACATCATCATATTCATGTTCTTCTTCTCTTACAAATTCAAGCAAAATAAACAAAACCCACATCAGATCATGAACAATCCGATCTGGGTCTCCCAGTTGTCGTAACAAATTTCATCCTTAAACTGGAAAACAACATGAAAAAACAGGGGAAAACAGAGCACAGAGTTTCTTATTAATTTCTCCGATCTTCATTGCCGCCGCCATCGCCGCCGTCATCTCTTCCAGCTCCGGCTTCTCAGAAATGGGTCATCATTACATCTACTACTACTGGATCCACTCACGACCCATGTCTCTTTCGCAATATCCGATGAAAGCTTGTAAAAATCAGCATCATAATCCATGACCACCAAGCTTTCCTTCTTAGCCACTGCCACTTTCTCCTCCTCCATTAACAATTTCAAGCTGATTTTCGATTGTTTTTCTTCTTGTTCTTGTTCTTGTTGTTCTTGTTTTGGTTTCCGTTCAATCCAGCCGGTTGACGGCGCCGACCTGCAACGCATCAGTAACAGAGCATTTGGCGGCGGAACAGAGCAAGGCTGCAGCTCGCCGGTGTCGTTTCTGGGTTTGGTTTCTTCTTCTTCATCTTCTTCTTCGTCTTGTAGAACCATGAACCATTTCGAGAACATTGTTCTTCTTTTCGAAGTAGCTTCGGTGGGTTCTTCTTCGTATTCAGCTTCGGATTCATATTCTTCTTCGTCTTCTTCCTCTGTTGTGATGTCGTCGGATTCAGGGAAGCCTCTGAAGCAACGGAAATCAAACCGGAAACCTCGTAAACACGACAGGAAATTAACGATTTCTCTCTTGAAACCAAACGGATTTTGATCTCGAATTTGGTTTCCCCAATTGGGTATTTTCTTTTTCTTATGAATTCGTTCGATTTCTTCCATAACAGATTGCCAGTTCTTAGTGGACCGACGAGCATGAGGTTTAATTTTGATCTGGCCGGCGCAGGTAACCTTCGGCGAAGTGGGTTCCGACGCCATCTCCTTGGCCCATAGAAGAGGACTTGCTTGAGACTGAGACGGCGGCGGAGCTTTCTTCTGGTGGCGGCGGTGGGGTTCCGCCGATGCTCTGGCCGGACTGCAGGTGGGTTTTGGGAGAAGGGTAAGGCGGGCCCTCGCCGGAAAACAGACGAGAAGGTCCGCCGGCGGAGCCATGGATTTGGGTTTGGGATTATTTCTGGATTTCATGATTTGTGGAATTGATGATGAAGAAGGTGAGTGATGAATTTGGGTTTTAAAAGGAAATATTAAAGACAGGTTGGCTCACTTTTTTAGCCTTTAATTTATTATTTTTCTTTTTTATCATCATATCTCTTTATTTATTTATTTATTTATTTTATTTATTTAATTTCTTTAACAATTCTTTTACTTCTTTTCTCCCTCTTTTGGGTCTTACAATGTGGTTGCTTTCTTAGTCACCCATTCACTTTTTTCTCCATCTCCAAATTCTTCCATTACAATCCACGTTTACCCGAGCTTTTAGGTCGAGAGTATATGTAACCCTCTAAGTCTACTGATACAGTTACAATATTGTCTGCTTTGACTCATTATGTATCGCTGTCAGTCTCATGATTTTAAAACGCATCTACTAAGGAGCGGTTTTTATACCCTTGTAAGGAATGTTTGGTTCCCCTCTCCAACTGATGTGGGGTCTCATAATTCACTCCCCTGTTAGGGGGAAGCTCGGAAGGTGAGTGATGAATTCGGTGTTTGGCTCTGATACCATTTGTAACGACCCAAGCCCACCCCTAACAGATATTGTCCTTTTTGGGTTTTTCCTTCCGGGCTTCCCCTCAAGGTTATTAAAACGCGTCTACTGTGGAGAGGGTCTAAACCTACTCTGACCAGAGCTAGTCACCAGACGGTGCGAGACACTGTTCGGAGTAGGGCTTTCTCTCAAGGTTTTTAAAATGAGTCTACTATGAGAGGGTCTAGCTCTACTCTGATTAGAGCTAGTCACTGAATGATGCGAGACACTGGTCGGAGTAGAGATACACCCTCTCCATAATAGACGCGTTTTAAAAACCTTAAGGAGAAGCCCAAAGAGGATAATATTTGCTAGTGGTGGACTTGGGTCGTTACGGTATATTATCATAATCAGTTGAGTTATGCTTAAATTGATAATAGACTAGACGTGCTCAAATGTAATTACAATATCCACGTTTCATAAACATTTCAAAACTAGAACTTGAAACAACGCGAGGGAACTTCAACGGAAGTTGGGACTCAAACACAATTACGTCATTCTATGTCATACGGTTATTCCATATCACAATTTTAATAGAATTTTTTATTTAAAGGGTGCAATTTTTTTATAATAAAAATAAAGGGGAATAGTAATATAATATGGTATGGAAAAGTGAAAGGAAGCCCCCCACGAGTATTGTTTCATGATACAATAATTATGTCAACTAGTTAGGTTTAGGGTATGCCATGATACTCATTCATCCCCTATGGTGTTCATCATCAATAGTCACAATATTTTATTCTTTATTCTCCAAATAATTTCTATGGGTTCTAATGGAATGATTTGAAACCTCGTTTGTTAAGTCTCGCTCGAGAAGCCTCACTCGATCAGCCTTGCTCGAGAAGCCTTGTTCGTATGCTTTATTGTTTAAATTTTTGTACTTTTACGTTATGAGTAGGATTAAAGACTCATGAGCTAACTCGTAAGAGGCTCCCGTAGGTTGAATCATACAGACAAATGAACAACGGGTCTCCTTGTAAGCCTTTTCAAGAAGTTGGGCTAACGGGTAATAGCAAACACGTGAGAGGGACATAACCTATCAAGTTATGTACTTACTAAGTAGAGGCATGTTGAAGAAAAATATAAATAAAAGTGACTTATCCATAAATAAAATAAAATAAAAAGTAGTCTGCTCTGATATTGGGCTCTTACGCTCAAAGATTGGGTCATATTGGGCTCTTAGGCCCAAAGATTTGGTCATATTGGGCTCTTAGGCCCAAATATTGGGTCATATTGGGCTCTTAGGCCCAAAGATTGGGCCCAATTAAAAGCGAGCCCTAAGTGGTCCAGAACAAATTAGAAATCAAGATTTTTAAAAAATAAAAGAAAATGTGCATATTACTGATATTTTTTTTTAGGTCAGAAATTTTAAATTTTACAATTTTTTCAAAAGAAAAAAAAAAACAAAACAAATCTAGAAAGAGTTTATCTCAAACTGACACCTCTTACCCTTCGTCAATAACGCTGCCACGGCGTCTGTGTACACATCATCATCTTCAAATGCGCTCAGGGCCAAGTCAGCGTCTTCTTTCTCCACGTCAGTAGATTGATCCATGGTGGCATTTCCAGTGGGTCTCAACACCACCAACGTAGCGTCCTCCATATAGAGCCCTTGCCGGATCTCCAGCAACGGCCAGCACTTCATCCTCACCGTCGTTCTCGGTATCCTAGTTCTCATCTGCAACCTCCCCGCTGCCTCTCCGCCGCCGCACATTCTCGATCTCCTAAAATCCTCTAAACCATTCTCCTCCATCACCACCACACCATTCCCTCCCCTGTCTCTCAACACCAGATTCTTCATCTCCAAATGCTCCTCCACCACCTCCGCCATCACGTGGTGCCTCGCCGACGCCGTCATCAGAGCGCCCATCATCCAGAGCACTCTCGCTTTCATCCCTGTGACAAAACCGTAATCAACACCATCCACTTCCATCACCTCCCGACCATCGGAGTTCCTAATCTTTTCAAAACTCAAAATTACACAGTTCCTAAGCGCCTCACCGAACTCCGCTCTCCATTTAACGACTCTCTCAATTTCAAAATCTTTAGTCGGAAACTCGATCTGGAGGCGCTGGATCCGGTAGAACTGGCGGAGGATTTGCGCGGGAGACTTCTGCAATTTGGATTTGAGGAGAATAGAGGAAATAAAATAGAAGAAGGATTTGACGGTAGACTTAAAGAATTTGAAGAGGTGAGAGTTAGGGTCGGAATCCGAATCGGAATCGGAATCGAAATCGGAGGAAATGATACAGTCGATCTTGAGAAAAAGCGAATCGCAATGAGGAACGAGGGAGTTGAAGCGCTTCGAGACGGCTCTGCAACGGATCAAGGTTTTGACATCGCAAACAGAGTTGAAGATCAGAAGAACCAGAGAATCAGGAAGCGAATCGAAGCCGTCGTCGTCGATAGGATTTGAAGAAGAAGCATCTTGTTCTTGTACTCCCGCCATTGGAAACCGTATAAAGCTTTTTTTTCTTTTTCCGTTTCTGCCTTTCATTTTTCGAACTTATTAACAGAAGCTAGGCGTGCAAGTCACGTGGCAGAGAGAGAGAGGGCAAACTTGCGTGTGGTTTGAGCGTTCACCTGACATCAGTGGGGCCCACAGGCCCAAAATTAAGCCCATTCAAATTTATGAAAGAGTTATAATAAGTTTTAAAAACAATTAATTTATTTATTACCTGCCAATTTTATGATTCATAAAATAATTAATTCATTTATTTTAAATTTTTATATAAACTCTAAACTTTTAAATTTATTAGATATTTTTTAAAACTTTTGGACCGATTAAACAATTTTAAAAAATTATAACCAAATACACACTAACATTAAAATTTAGAAAATAAAATTTTAATTAACTTTATTATGTTACGTCACCTCCTTCAAAATATCTTAATTTAACGATATTAAATTATATATATTTTTAAATAAATTATTAAGAAAATTTGGAGTCTATTTGTTAAAGTTAAAAAAATAAGTAGAATATTGTTACATAATAAAAGTTTTGATTCTTTGGATATAAAAGTGACGACATGCCACATTAACCATGTGATGTGAAAGAGGACAATGAAATCAATTCAATCAAACTGAATTTTCAATGTTTCAATTTAATTTTTTCAATGTTTACTGTAAAAAAATTAAATAGAACAACAAGTAACCTTAATTGCATCGTATGCTACTTATTAAACTTATTATCATTCATGTGTAGTAAATAGTAAAAAATTTTACCTAAAAAAGAAACAGTAATTTTTAATGTTGGTAAAAGTTTATACAATTAGTAGCCCGGCAGAAGTCAAAAGAAACATTACTACGAACATAGATGCCCTAATAAGGTCAAGAGAGTTCCCAAAATAATAGAAAATTTTATAATGGAATGACTTGAAGTCTACTTGATAAGTCTTGCTCGTATGTTTTATTTTTTAAATTTTCGTACTTTTACACTATGAGTAGGTTTAGAGACTCGTGGATTTATTCTTAAGAGGTTCTCGTAGGTATCATATAGACGGATAAACGACGGGTCTCCTTGAAAGCCTTTTCAAGAAGTTGGGTTGACGGGTAGTAGCAAATACCTGAGAAGGACATGACCTATCAAGTTGTGTACTTACAAAGCCGAGGCACGTTTCCTCTTCTACTTACTTTTTAGTACAATTTCGACAACGAGACCATGAAGGAAAATATAAAGAAGATGACTCGTCCCGTTAAAAAAATACACAATACTACTCTAACTCGGATCCATACTATTGTATATACCAATAAAGTGCACTTTACTTTCGGGTAGTGACGTGGATTTTATTGTTAAATTGGGCTGTTAGGCCGAAAGACTAGGCCCAATTAGAAATCAAGATTAAAAAAAAAAATGTACATATTATTGATATATTTTCAAATTTACAATTTTTTAAAAAGAAAAAGAAAAGAGAGGAAAATCTAGAAAGAGTTTATCCCCATCTTAAGCCTAGTACCCTTCGTCAACAACGCTGCCACGGCGACTGTGTACATATCATTATCTTCAAATGCGCTCAGTGCCAAGTCAGCGTCTTCTTTCCCCATGTCAGCAGTTTCATCCTCGCTGGCATTTCCAGTGGGCCTCACCACCACCAACGTAGCGTCCTCCATACATAGCCCGTGCTGGAGATCGAGCAATGGCCAGTACTTCATCCTAACCGTCGTTCTCGGTACTCTAGTTCTCAACGTCCGCCTCTCCGCCGTCCGTCTCTCCGATGTCTCTCCGCCGTCGCCGCCGCCGCAAACTCTCGATCTCCTAATATCGTCTAAACCATTCTTCTCGATCACCACCACACCATTCCCTCCCTCGTCTCTCAACACCAGATGATTCATCTCCAAATGCTCCACCACCACCTCCACCATCACGTGGTGCCTCGCCAACGCCGTTATCAGAGTGCGCATCAACCAGGTCACTCTCGCTTCCATCCTTGGGAAGAAATTGACACCGAAATCATCCACAGCCATCATCGCCCGACCATCGAATTTCCTAATCTTGTGAAAACTCAAAATCACGCAGCTCCTAAGCGTTTCACCGAACTCCGCTCTCCATTTAACGGCTCTCGCAACTTCAAGGTCCTTAGTCGGAAACTCGATCTGGAGGCGCTGGATCCGGTGGAACTGGCGGAGGATTTGCGCGGGAGACGTCTGCGATTTGGATTTGAGGAAAACAGGGGACATAAAATAGAAGAACGATTCCAAGGTAGTTTTGAAGAAGTCGAATAATTTGGAGTTTGGAACGTAATCGGAATCGGAATCAGAATCGGGATCGGACTCGGAATCGGAGGAAACGGTATAGTCGATCTTGAGAAAAAGGGAATCGGAATGAGGAACGAGGGAGTTGAAGCGCTTCGAAACGGCTCTGCAACGGATCAAGGATTTGACATCGGAGACAAAGTTAAATATCACAAGAACGAGGGAATCGGGAAGAGAGTCGAAGCCGTCACCGGCGACGCGAATTGAAGAAGAAGCTTCTTGTTCTTGAACTTCCGCCATTGGAAACACCGTATAAACCTTTCTCTTCGTTCAGTTCTTTATTTCCGTTTCAGCCTCCCATTTTTTGAACTTATTAACAGAAGCTAGGCGTGCTAGTCACGTGATGAGAGAGAGAGAGAGAGCGGGCCATGTTGCTGTGGTTTAACCGTTACCTGACATCAGTGGGGCCCACAGGCCCAAACTTAAAGCCCATTTAAATTCATCCAAATTTTTTCAAGACTCTCTTCGGAATGTTTTACAAAATAAAAAGGAATATTAAAATATTTTCGAACATAATATTAATATTATTATCATTCCCCAAAAATTGTTTATTTATTTTTTTAATAATTTTAAATATTTTTTTTTATCAATTTTCTAATTTTAGTTTAACATAAGTATAATAATTAATAAATATGAATTATAAATTTAATGTTGTTTTTAATTTATTAGATATTTTTTAAAAGTTTACTAACGAATTAAAACAAAATTACAGTGTTGTTGGGATCCTCGTGAACAGAAAAAGATTACAATCCATTTGATAATGATCAAATGACATTGCTTATTCGGCCCGAACCCAGGAATTCCTTAGATATGATACAAAATGAATATTGTTATATAGTTATATAGTTGATAAGAGATTTCTCTAAGGAGGACGGAGAAGGAGTCCTCGACCCGCAAGAGTTCGGGCTCCTAGAATATGGCACCCTTGGGGCTTTTTATTTTATCGAATCAAATGGTCCAATGAACTGAGATTTTTCTATTGGGCTAGGTCATTTCAGGGCATGCGGATAAGTTTCAAGAGAATGATTCAGAATTCTTGCGTAGCGGGCAAACACGAAATAGATCTTCCAACGAACAAGGGTTTGTTCGAATCTTCTCGTAGATCCTCGTGAGGATAACCAGATAGACAACGTTACAACCGAGAGGCAACGAAATAACCAATTTGTTATGAAAATTTTTGAAAAATTATTGAAACTAACAAATATACGTGAGAAATAATGACTGACTGGAAACCGTAAATAATGTGTCAGTAAAAAAAAGGTAAGGGTTGACCGAGTAAAAACCGAACCCCAAACACTTTTATCTAATATTAAACCTAATGAATTGTAAAAAAAATGGCTTGGAATTCGGATTTGGTTTGAAGAAACTACCATCCAATGCCTTTCCCTCTTCCTCCTATCCCCATGCAATCCATGCAAACCACAAACCACACCCATTACTCTTCATTCCCTAATTCTCCTTCTTCTTCTTCTTCTTCTCTATCCTCCTTTTTCTTCTCTCTCTATGGCGGAGCCCGAGCGGATTCACTCTAATCTTCTACCCGTCCATCCCGGGTTCTCTCCCGGCACCTACGTCATTCAGATCCCCAAGGATCAAATCTATCGCATTCCACCTCCTGAAAACGCTTTCATCGTCGAATGTCATCGTAACCCTTCTATCTCCACTTCTAAACGTCGTCGCTCTTGTTGTTTTCGTATCTTCCTCCCTATCTTCATCGTCCTTCTCTTCATCCTCATCCTAGCCCTCGTCCTCCCTCCTCTTCTCACCCCTCCCAAACCCCCCGTCTTTAAGCTCACCAAATTTCGATTCACCCCCTCCACCCGTGACTTCCATATAGTCCTGAATATCCTCAACCCTAACCCTTCTGGCTTCATCGAGTTCAAATCTCCCTCACACGCTTCCCTCTCCTTTCGAAAACACAAAGTCGCTGTGGCTAAGTTCCCTCTTATCCAACAAGAACATGGCTCCCAACGACATGTCGCATTAGCCCTTCACACCAAATCCTCCTCGTTTCCCAAGGAATTGGAGAGACGAATCAAAAACAAGTCGAAGCTCAAAACTTCCATGTCTTTGATGATGGATCTTCCCGCTCATACGAAAGGTCGACTCTCGACACGTCGGAATGTCAAATTTGTTGTCGTTTGTAGCTTCACGGTCAATACGTTGGGAAAAAATTCACATATACTATCACAAGATTGTCAAAGCGAACGCCAATGACAATACGATACCAAAAAAAGGGTAAAAATTATTGGTATATTCACTTCCATTTTCATTTGCTTACCCTATATACGATTAAACAACGTCAATGGTAACCCGTATCATCTCTTAACCTTCGTCTCGTTATAAGGGCAGTTTTTTTCAATCTCTTTTATGTGAACTTTTCTCTGTTAATCAATGGTTTTTTTAGGGTTCATGTCTTTATAATTTCTTTATATAATTACCTAAAAACACTAATTGAACTCGATCTATACGGTTTGGACTAGATAATCCGAACTGACCGAATTCTCGAGTCATGAACACCAGTTTTTTCTCGTAAACCCGTGATTTCAAACATTGATTTTGTAGTCCTCTAATTCTTAAAAAAAAAATCGTCTCTAGATTAGTTAACTCGATGAATTCGTCTCAATTTCTTTTTATAGAAAATTGTGACGTAAATCATAATCATTAATTAAGAATATTAAACACATTAATTTACAACTAATGATCCCAAAAACACATGTTCATTGCATTTGTAGCTAATAATTCTGTCTCCATTCATCATATCATATATTAATATCTACTTTTTTTGGGTCATTACATTAATCATTAGTGCTCTTTATTCTCGTATTTATATAATCGATAATCCGATCCATTCAGACTACTCAAACAAAATTACAAAGGTTGAATTAGATTAAATTTTTTTTTTTTTCCGTTTAGGTCGGGTTGAATTTTTTGAAAGCCAAAATATTTGGTTCGGTTTACAGACTGGCCTTTTTTTAACGAAGTCAACCTGAAAATAGGATTACAATCCGACCCTAAACCATATTTAAAAAAAAATTAAAAATATTTAATGTTTCTGATATTAATGATGCGATGTTACCTGTAAATGTTTCAATGTTTGATATTTGAATTTTATGAAATTTGAGTTATTAATCTGACATGTGTCGTGGATAAGTATGATTTTTTTAAAATTATTAAAAAAAATAAGAAAATCCCGACAACCCAACCCAACTCAACTCATATTATAACAGCCAAAGCCCACGGCTAGTAAATGTTGTCTTCTTGTGACTTTCTACGTCAGGCTTCCCCTCAAGGTTAACCAACGTGGGATCTCACAATCCACTCCTCTTGGGGTCCAGCGTCCTCGCTGGCATATTGCTGGATGTCTGTCTCTAATACCATTTGTAACAGCCTGAGCCCACCGCTAGCAGATATTGTTCTCTTTGAGCTTTCCCTTTCGAGTTTCTCCTCAAGCTAAATAAATAAAAACACGTAAAGTAACATTTTTATAAATTTATCGTTCAAAAACCAAAATTATCGTTTTTTAAAATCAAACCCAATAAGAACGGTTAGTTTTTATCGAACATTTAGAATCATATTACAAAAGTGCCATTATCATTACTTGAAAACTAAGAAAATATGTGATTGTTCTATCAAAAAGTAAAAACACCCTAGAAAGCAAACATCTAGGGCATATGTTCCCTTGGGAAAGGTCATGTCCAAGTCACATGCAAATCAATATCTAATAATATAGGGCACCCCTCCACGACCAAGGGCCATCTAGGTGCCACCCCACAGTTCTATTATTATTATTGTTATTATTATTATTATTATTATTATTATTATTGAGAATCTCAATGAACCCTTCCTTTTCTTTACGATATGCAAAGATAAAGACACATGCCCTTCATTTGGTGGGTATCCCCCCCAGTGAATGGACTCAAAGAGAACAAAAAAACGCCCCACCATTTCTAATAATAATGCTCCTGCACTCACGTACATTTTTGTTTCCATACTAGCATAAAAACAACAAACATCGTCCTACCATCTCGAGTTCTCTCGAGCATTCGAGCATAGAATAATAATGTGGGAGAAGGAACGATCAACGATCGATCTTACTTGAGAGTTTTCGAGGGTACGTTAAAACATTTACAAACCCATCTCGGGTGGAGTTACTGGGAGGTCGAGGACGGAGAATATAGTCCCGGAAGGAGGGTTTTAGGGCAATAATTGGAGCGTTTTTTGGGTTTAGAAGAAGCAATGATGGGATTGAATATGCTTTTCTTTACACGTCTGAAAAATGAAAAGATTCAACTAGAGAGGGATGGATGTTGAGTTGTGTTTGTGTATATATAGTTTTGGTGTAAAACCCATTAATAAATTATTTATTTATTTATATAAAGAAAAAAGGGGGAAAAAATGTGATTTTTATTAGGGTGAAGAAGTGGAATCCAACTCCTCATTCAACAATGATTTCCCCTTTTTCCCAAGGAGTAGTGGGTTTTCCTTTTTCACCACCTAACTCCTTGAAAATAACTCCATTAATCAAAACCACCATCATCCAATCACTAAGATTCCTTTTAGATACCCGTTACGATTTCAAAGGTCGATGATCTAACCTTACGCTCGATAATTGTTGAATTAAACGAAAACTCGAGAATGGTTTCTGTAAAGAGTTAGACTAATCACGTATGCAATCCTTGAATACTCGGTGTGGATGCTATATTGTTGGCTCTCATCCTTCAGAGGTTATGTGTAATAGTCCGAGTTCACTGTTAGTAGATATTGTCCGTTTTGGCCCGTTAGGTATTTTCGTAAGTTGTTGTGAGATCTCACATCAGTTGGAGAGGAGAACGAAATATTCCTTGTAAGGGTGTGGAAACCTCTCCTTAGTAGAGGTGTTTTAAAACTGTGAGACTAACGACGATACGTAATGGGTCTTGGGCGGTTAAAAGTAGTATCAGAACCAGATACTAGGGCCTCAAGGGAGCTGGATTGTGAGATCTCATATTGGTTGGATATGAGAACGGAGCATTTCTTATAAGGGTCTAAAAACTTCTCTCTAGAAGACGCATTTTAAAACCGTGAAGCTGCCTCTAACCATCCAGTATGTCTACTACTAGTAGATATTGTCCGCTTTGGCTCATTACGTATCTCTGTCAGCTATTGTGAGATCCCACATCGATTGGAGAGGAGAACGAAACATTCATTATAAGGGTGTGGAAACCTCTCCCTAGTAGACGTGTTTTAAAACCCTGAGACTAATGACGATAC